TTTCGTTATTTTGGACTTTAGAACATTTACTTTGTTACTTTATTCCCTTTGGATTATTTTTACACCAAAGTTTTAAAACTAATGTGTTTTGGAAGGATAAAATATCTTATTGAATTTGTCTTTTTCTGTGGTGTAGTGAAGCTAATTTAGGTTAGGAATATTCATTGATTATTTTATTGGGTATATAAATTAGTTAGGATAGAAAGCTCTGGAATAAATTTGTCTTACGTAATTATCTCATTCATATTATCAAACATTAGCCATAATATCTACAGAGCCTTGGTGGTATTAACAAGTGAACTGGCATTTAATATCTTACCCATGAATAGAGGAGGTATTTAATTTTCTTATGGAAGACAATTTAATCCAACTTCGTTATGAGAATATCGACTTGATTAATTAATGATTAATCATAAAGAGGTGAAAAATAAGGATAAAATTGGAAGGCTAATGCTAAACTATGACAGTTCTCTTTTTCATCTTCTTAGATAACATTCAAAGTGATTATTGACATTGCTATATGTTATAATTTCGAAAAGTCTTAAAACTTTGAATAAAGGTATTTTCTTTTTTCTCTTTAAAGAACAAATGAAATGAAATTAGATACTGTTACCTAATTGAGGTATGAAATGAATAAATCCTTTCGTTGCACATTTGATATTGTGATAAGAAAGCGATTTCAGAAAGCCGTTGTTTATCACATTTTTAGGATCATTTCTTCATTCTCTGGATGCACTCAAATTTATTACCTTCATCTTACTTCTCAAAGCAAGTTTAGCACAATAAAAGTCGAATTTCAGAAATTTAAAGCGAAGAAATAAACTTTCGTTTGACAAGTTTTGCCGGATTCATACATCCATCTGAACTGCTTTTATGTTTGAAAATAAGCTATTAAAAGAAAAAAAATAATCTTTGGGGCTATCCTAGTATTGTGTCATTCCAATAGAAATTTTCACATTCCTAAACTTAAGCAATAATTTATATTTATCGATCAAATCAAATTTTCCTTTTTCACGGTTGTTAATTTCCTTCAATATTTAAAAGTGATCATCAACTTCTGTTTTTGCCTTCGTCCTTCATTGAAGTCCTCTCTCAATAGTCCCTGTCTATCGCCTGTGTCCTTCAACCGATAGCTGGATCAAATAAATTGGATCATTAAGGAAATATAAACTCTATGCACCCTCAGATTGCTGCTATTAAGCGATCCGTGTAATTGAGATCTAATTCTAATGTCCACGATCTTTAACCCACAAATGAAAAATAAATTTCAGCGGCTTACCCTTTCGAGAATCATAAGGTTTGCCCTTATTGGCTCTTTAATGGCCCTAAGCGTGCCGCATTTAAGCCATGTAATGATGGTAAGGTTAAATATCTCTATGCTCTCATAGATGAGGTAGGAGAGTCAGACGAATGAAAAGATGAAATATTTTATGAATAGCGAAATTTGTTGTGGATAAGCGAAAGAGAGGGAGGAATGCCTGCACACATGGGTTGGGTTGGGTTGAGTTAAAGAGAGCAGCAGATTAGTTCGTCGAGGTAGGACTAATGCCCTTAATTAATCATCCATGAACAGCCGTTCATTCAATACCACTGATCAGATCAGATAAGGATGTTGATGAAGTCAGAAAAGCCTAACAGATTTATTTCATTCACTGACATTCTCAAAAAAATGACCCTTGTTGGCCAAGAGAATTGCTCTCTCTATCTATAATAGTTAACAGACGATGTGCAACCTTGACGAATGATAACTACCTGACTGAGTAACTGCTAAACAACAATGACAACACATGGACCAAGTTATTCACTTATCCTCATCAGCATTCTCTTCTAATCAAAAATTCACCAAAAATAATTCATTTTGGAATAGTTTTGATTTAATTGAATCGTTTTCATCAAATTGTTAATCCTTTTATTGTAAACAGAAATTCTGTCTTGTAACTTATGCAACAGTCATGTCACATTTTGTTTTTGTGAACCAAACATAATTTTGTTCATTGTCTTTTCAATTTGTAATATTTCAATCGAATCGAATGCAATAATAATGAATGTATAAAAACAATTATCAATTGTTTAAGCGAATGAGATAAAACAATTATTGCTATTTTTAATCATTGTTAGTACTGTCATATCAGTAATATTAATATTTTGCAAATTTTTAGTTTCTTCCAGATGAAAAATCTATCTCACAAAACTGTTTTGGTATGATAAGCCTTAGAAATAATTTATTTCTTTGTTTTTCTTCTTTGAGATCTATATGAATTCAGCGATTAAATTCTTTTTTATTCTTATCACAATCATATTTTATCATCTGAACTGATTGTATGGTATATAGCATGTTAAAAAGTATGCCAATAAGTTTTTTTAAAAAACAATTGCATTTCAGTAATTGTCCAAACTTTATTAAATGGAGAAATCATTGAATCGTTGTTGCATTATATCATTACAATAATTCATTTCTGCTTCACTGCATTCGATACTGCCACATTCAATCCATTCTTAATTTCAACTATTTCGAATCTATTGTAATACCATCTGTGAACAGATGAACAACAAAAATATTATCAAATTAAGAGTTACCTGTTGCTCCTTTATTTCTCAAATCTTTTTTTTCTATTGCAGTTTTAGTTTTCTGGCACAGTTTATTTCAGATCTGAAGAAAAATTTTAGATATCGTTCGTCTTTTGAAGCATATTAGATAAACATAAGTTATAGATCTTTCAGCTGTGAAATATATTTTAGGAATGAATTATTCCTCTAATTATTACCAAACTTTTTGCGCTGAACTTACAAATGTCGTCCATTTCTTACACAGGATAGCTTCATATTTATTAAAATTCTAAAAGTAAAAACGAGAAAGCTATTGATGTAAAATTAATGGGGAAGTTAACTGCAACTCGACTCATGTTACTTATTCATTGAATATGTCTAAATACCAGAAGAAAAAAGTAAATTAAAAGGCAAAGTATTAAAATTTAATATCTTCCCAACAAAAATAAAATAATTTGAATGATTTTTGAGATAGCAATTTCTCAAGCCGCATAGAATGGATGAATTCTGAAGTGTTGAATAATTAAATTTGCTCTAATGACTCATTTAATGACATTATCAGATTGCCAAGTAAAGCTGAATCGTTTACCATTTCAGGAATTCATCCTTTTACGGTTATTTTCATGAATCACTGCTAAGTTTATTGTTTTTTATTTTGATTTTTCCTAATAATTCTTAAAAATTGCCAATTTACCCTTTCACCATTTGCTATAATGTACTGATGGCAGTTCAAATATCGCTGATTTCTGCATTTTCCAGTGAATCATTTCACGGTTCAATTCGATCTGATTTTCCGCAATCTTTAGCATCTTGCATGAAATTATTAAATTATTTGTTTATTTTTTGATTGTTTATTTCTGGTGGTCCGAAGATGCGTCAAGAATATGATTCATATCGATGCGAGGAAAAAAGGGCTTCCACTTATTTCAAATTTTTTATCTTTCCTTTAACCTTTTGCACGAAGGTTAGCAAGCTACTTATTCCGCACGAAGTCTTGCACATTTAAGTTATTACTCTATCTTATAAAGCTCTTTTAAAGGAGATGTTTAAACTAAGTTATCCAGTTATAATTCTTTTATTGTCTATGACACTATATTTGGACCTGACAATGTTAACCTTGAAAAGGAGTCAATTTAAATCTGAGCCATTCAACAGATAGCCAAAATAGGGTGATGATGATGATGATGGTGATGGTATTTGATTCTAAAAGTTTCCTCTGCCTCTGAAGAATATTAGACATTTTAAGTGTTCGTGCAAAATTATATGTCGTACCAACAATTATTTTTCCTGAATTTTCTTAAAACATTCAAGTTTTATTATGCAATATACTGGAACGATATTTTTTATAGTATTAGTTCCTTCTAAAAATTATTTTTAAATCGAATGAAATGTTTTAAATCTTCTGTCTTACTTTGTTGCGCACTTGTCGCTCTCATCCCTTTGCCTCACAGTTTTGTCTCAAATATGATAAAAAGTAAGAAAAAAACCAGTTGATTGTGTAAAAGAATGAGGCATTGTTGTTGTTATTCTTTTACTCATAAAAATTTAAGAGCTGAAATACGAAATTCTTGTTTGTATGTGTGTGGCAGCCAATTCTTCCAATTCCAATAAAAATGGCGTCCTTTTCCATCAATGGAGCTTCCACAAACAGAATTACTTACTATCTGAAAATGTGTTCCACTTCAAAAATTGCATTACATTGAAAAGATCTTAATTTAGAGTATAAATGCTTTCCTGTCTTTTCAAAACTTTTATTTATCCTTCATTAATTTCCCAATTTGTTTTTAATTTCTCAGTTCAATTCTTATTTCTCTGCAAAGAAATGCAATATATCAAAATTTGAAACATAAAAAAGCTATTTTATAATTCAAATAAAAAATAAAGCAAATTATTGAAAAGTACTAGAATAATTCGGTGTTTTACTAAACTCTGAGGTACTCCTCATTTTTTTAAATAAAACTGTGCAGATGACATTTAGTTGAAGAGAGACGGTATAAAATCCGTGGAATTCGCTAGATCAATTGATAAGTGTAGAAAAGTAATTGAAATTGCGTTGTTATGAGAGAAACAGCGTAGTTTTTGAAGCTCAGATCTAGAAATGCCATAAGCTCTAAGACTGAATTACTGAAATGAAAAAGTTTGACATTAAGTTACAGACTACAGTTTCGATAATTATTATTAAATGAGAAGAAATCATGGCACGAGTTTTCTCTCTTTTTTAATATTAAAAATGCTTACAGTTGTCTCATCCAACTCTAAGCATTTTTTCATCAGAGCTTTTGTTATATTCACTCTGTTCTACCATGTCCTGTGTTGACTAATATTGTTTTCCTTTTCGGATGTTATGTGAGAACGAACCTGTTGTTGTCGCATCTCTACAAATTCCATTCTTCCTTTTGTCGAATCTGCGCCCCTCAGAACAATACCTTTTAATTCAAATAAATGCATGCTTCTCATCCATTTAGCTGTAAATCCTGTGCCCGAAGCCCTTTAGTGATATGGGAATTATACTTAATCGGTGCGAAGGGCATATTGTTTACTGGTAATTCCACTAAAAATACTCAACTCGATCAGTAGTGGAACTTTTTGATCGGTTGACTGATTTTTGCAAACCAAACATTAACTTGTAACAAAAGCTATTCGCTACCGATCTCTCTTTCTTTCAATCCCCGCACTTTCCTAGTCTTTTCTATTATATTTAAACTTGTTTTTTAAGAATTTTCATTTCGATCTTCAAACAATTCGAGAGAAGATTTCTGCACTGGTCTATGCTTAAGTTGTAAAAATTTGTAAAATATATTACTTTGCTACGGTTTATATGATTGACATACTCTAAAATGGTAAAAATTCCAATTATTGTTCATTTAACTCTTTTTATGAGAGAAATACACACAGGAAAGAGAGATTAAATCAACTTTGAGCTATGGTCTGAATTCCTAAATTCATATGCTCAAAATTTGAATCTTGTAGTTCCCAATTCTTTTTTCACAATATTTTCCAATTTTGCTGATGAAAAACCATTAGAGATGCGTCACTGATATATAAAGTATTTGCTTACTGAAATGGAAAAAATGAATCCTTTCTTTACTCCAGAAACTGAAACTGCAATTGTCGAAATGACTGATTATCTCATAGTTTTGTCGCCAATTTTTGAGGCACAGAGCTCGCATTTGATGCATTTGCAATTCGCAAGCAGAAAATAAAACAGCATCAACGAGAGCTTTTCTAGGAAAATAAAAGAATAAATGGAAACAATTGTAAAAAATTTATTTAACAAAACTCGTCTTAAATATTCAATATTTTATGCAATCATAAAAACCAGATAGTTATATAAATAATATATTAAGTGTTAAATTCCATTTACTTCTTTTTCAAATAAGTAATTTTAACAAATTTAACAGCTGAATCAATGATTCTCGATAGTTTTGTTTAAACTACTTACGAAAAAAAACTACTTACAAAATTATTTGACCTTGACTTTAATCTTCTTGGGAGAAAGTCTTTAAAAATGATAGCTTTCAGTGACAATCCTGGGATCATCGTTTGGGAAATTTTATTTAGTTAATGAAATTCGAAAAGGAACTATTATTGAGATGAGATGACGTCTGCCTAAATCAATCACTGTAACTGTTTCTCATCTACTTGTCATGAACGCAGATCAGTTCGCATTTATCGTTTGTCCAGCATTCTGTTCAATTTCAACGTAATAATTAGCACTTAATGCTACCCTAATTACTACCTTACCTTACTTTTATCGATGGTACATATCATCATATTGATTCATTTATCATCATCATCATCAATATAATGTTTCTTTTTAAACTATTAATGATATCGTTACAACGATAATTGCTGTTTCTCGTCCTTTATTATCTCTTGAAATTGTGTCATTTCTTTTTTGTTTCGTTTTATAGGCTATTAATCTTTAACAATTTAGAAATATCAAAATGAACAAAAAAGATCAGTTTTAACTTACTAAGGATTGTTGGTAGAAAATACAGAAATCATATTAGTCAAGAGTTTAACCTTTCCCTCAGAAACTGATTTTTCTGTACAGCAAAGTGATGAAAAACCGACAGTATTCAATTATTTTTTGGAATCGTTTCATCTTTCCATTTTTTTATTTCATCCCTTTTTATTTATAAATACTACTTTGATTTGCATTTTATGTCATTTAATAATAACCTTCCATGGGGATATCAAAAAGCTACAAACAAAGGCATCACATTCCTTAATTAGCTTTAATTAAATTAAATTTCTTTCAGCTTGGTATTATATTTTATATAATACAATACTGTTGGTATTATCACATTTTTGCAGCATTATTTGAACAAGGGTTTCAGTTTTTCAGAAAACTAATTCTTTCTTAAAGAAGGAGAAGAAATAGAGTGAAAAGAAAAAATATTTACATATAACAAAGTCCAGTAGATACGAATTATCTGCTTGAAATCACAAAATCTTTTTCAAATGTTGCAATAATTTGTATATTTACCTCTCACATAACTAAAAACAAATTAAAGTGACATCTGGATAAAACGGAATATTTCTAATCCGTCATGAATAATGAAGTCTGTCACACCTAAAATACCACCTCGAACTGAGCCACAATATCTGTTTGGTTTGATCAACATTACATTTCATCTCAGGTAACCTGATGCGACTCTTTCTTTTTAATTTGAAAACAAGTTCTGGGAAATCCAGAAGTACTGAATATATATCACAATTTTCACAACCAATCATGAAGTCTGTATTTTTTCGATCTCAATCCTTTTATATACCAGTCATTATGCAAGAAAAAAAATTTCATGAAATCCAAAATCCAAAGTTTGATTCCTTTAAATTCTTGGAAACTTTTAAAAATTTCAATTTCTATTTCTCTAAGCAAGCGAAAAATAAACTCAAATTTAGCCAGTAATAATTTTTGCTGCTTTTGCTGAAACGCGTCAAATAATCAATGTAAGCTTTAGATCTTAGATTAAATTAATTTTCTCGAGATAAAATTAATAAATTTCGTTCATCTTTTACCCTTCACTACTCAATTTAAGACCCTCTCGGTCTTATTTGCAACTTTCAATCAATTAGTTCACTGACATCAATGAGCCTTGTTCCTTGAAGGATCCTTCACTACCGCTTGCTCTTGTTGTTTATTATTATTTGAATTGGACTCTCCATGACAGGTATATGTCATTTTCTTAAATTCAATCAATCGTCATCAGCAATACAAGTCATTGTTCGAATTTCGAGTATCATCTACTACTCCATGTTTAAATTTGGCAATACGTTTGTGATCTTTTCTTCAGTTGTCTTTGAAAGTTAGAGAATTAAGAAAACTAAAAGAATGAATAAATTACTGGAAATAAATAACATTTTGGTTCAAGCCGTCCAAAAATTTGTTTACAAAATCTTAGCCACTCAGAACTTCCATTTTTTATTGAAGTTTCAAAAAACCAAAGACTGGTGCTGGAGATAATAACTACGATTAATGACAAAGTTATTAACAATATTTAGTACTGATAATGTAAGCTGTAAGCATAATGATTACTAATGCTGCATGTCATATTATCTCTCAGAGCAGTTAAACATTACAATAATATGATAAATGCAATTAGTTCATTAAAAGCAGATAGAATCAAACTATGTCTGTTTACTGATTGTCCTATCATTTTATTACTATTCTATCTTCTATAATCCGTTTGATTCAGTTATAGTGCTTAGAAATAAGAATGAAATTTCAATTAATATTGGAAGTGATAATGACCAACTGATAAGCATTTGCTTAGCACATCTTTAATAAGCCTTACTGCTCAATTTGAAGAATTGACAATAAAAATGGTATGATTGTTATTACTCTAATTACAATACTGTAAATGACACTATCATTGTTGATATTATTTAAAATGTCATTAAAAATAGCTGTGATATTTTGATCTGGTGATTTTCTTCATTATTGAAGTTATTTTACTTATTATTGATCTTAATCAACAATTAAGGGCGGTAAAGACAAGTTTGTTCCTCTTTCATAAGAATTCTTCTTTCATAATGTTTAGTTTTGCAATAAACCGTTTAAAATGTTTGCGAAATAAATCTGTGGAAGACAAATTCTTATTTTTCTTCATTTGTTGTTTCAATTTGGGGAAGATTTGATGAAACAATAAAACTGATGGGAAAGCGATTATTGTTGTACTTTAAAATTATTATTTTTAAGGTCAACAATAATCGCTTAGAAAGTTGATGGAATGCAAAAATGATGGAATTCACACCAAGCAATCAACTTTGTCATATAACAAAGTGTACTCTAAGTTTGTGATTCCTAAAGAATTTATTCAACATTTGTGTAGATGCCCCTCATGGGGATCCTTGTTATCATCTAGCAGTAATTGGGTATTCTTTTTATTCCTCAAATTAGTTTTAGAAGGTATGAATGAAGAAATCGAAGGCAATAACCGAACGGTCATTAATGTTTTCACAGTTTTATGAATTTTTTTTTTTTGGTGGTTATTTGTGATAGTAAGTTTCCATCGTGTTATAAGTTTTCGAATTCTTTTTCATTTAATTATTTCAATAGCAAAATATGCACAAACTATTTTATTTCTCTTATATAGTGTAGAAATAATCGTTTTTAGTCTTTTTTATTGCAATTATAAACCGCACCTTTCCAAGAATTTGAGAATCTTAACAGAAGTTTGCTGTTAATTACATATTTAAAAGAAGTTTGCTGTTAATTACATATTTAATTAAAATAACTGCGAGATTTTGAAACATTTAGGACTTTCGTAGATAAGTCTTGTTCAAAGATAAGTAGTTTATAAATTCAAATTTACAAATTTAGACTTGAATTAGGTCTCCCAAACATATTGTGAAAAAGTTATGTATGGCTAACAACATCATCTCAGTTTGTTACCCGCTGTGTTCTAACCCAAAAAATCATTACTCCCCTTTCTCCTCCTCACAACAACACACAAACAAACAAATGCCGCTTGATTCTGTGCACCTTATTTGAATTTTAATTTCAATTGGTCGCATTATTCGTCTCTTCGAAATTCGGTAAACCTTTTTTCCGATAGAAGACTGAAACTTTCCTTTTTCTGTTTGATGCTTAGAATTTATTGCCAATTTCCTTTTTTTTAAAAAAAAGAAAGCAAAATTGGAAATCATCGAAAAAGGCTGAGTTGCTCAGTTCTGATTTTTATTAAATTTAAAAATTGTTATCATACCGATTCTTTCAAAGATGCTTTTTATAGTATTACAATATTGGTAGCTAAAGCTCAGTGATAGTAACAAATCTGTAAAGAGCTAATGGAAGTTGTAACTAATGAACAGTTATGGTTTTGTAGTCTGTGATAACAATGATACATTTATGATAAATCAAGAAAATATTTTAGTTACATGTACTCAAATAAACGGCGTATTTTGATTAGGCGCCTACTGTCAGAATTCATTAATCTTATTCGTCCCGCAAAATCTTTTGAAAGCATTGAAATTCTACATTCTTCCAAGAAAGCAATAAAGAGAAGTTGGAAGCTAAAAAAGAGATGAGAAGATTTAACGGTATTTAAATGAGCAGTTGCTTGTCAGCTTTCCTCTTCTTTCCTCTGCGGTATGCTTTGTTTTGATAACGGTAACACCTCAACACAAGGATCCCTTATGTTTGCTTAATCGCATCCTTTAAGGTACGTCTACCCTTTGCTTAATTTTCTTAATAACGATCTCATCTTCAATTTTCTTCTCTTCATTGACCTTAGCTATTTGCTACCAGCAGTGGTTACTATTTGTTTCAAGTATACTTGTAGTACCAAACAGGAACTTTTTTATTTATCTGCTCCAATTTTTTTTTTCTTTTCTGTTATATTTTATTTGAAATAACGAGTAAATCGGCTCAATTTATCCATCATCCTTTTCAAATTATCACATTCAAAGAACTGCATTTAAAATTCAATTTATCCACTTTCATCTGGAATATTTATCCAGTAATGTTTAAAATTTTGTCACTTTCTCGAGGAAAAATATCTCAGTTTTTGTTGTCACGTGATATTTGATATGGTATAAATCAAATGATTTCGGGTAATATTTCTAATTAAGTAATTATTGGATAACATTCTTACTCTTCAATTTAATTAGGTTATGTAAAAAAAAAAAAAAAAAAAACACTGGATGGACAGTAAAATAAAAGACAGAGAGT